CTGAAGCAAAACTTGGATATTTTTCATCAAAATTTTTCCACGCCAAGGAGTCAGCTGGATGTCGTAAAACTCCATCATCGACTTTCTTATTTTTATGCCATCTCATATCTTCAGCGGTACGTCTTATCATAAAAAATCGTTGTAATCTTGGTATGATAGGAAAGTATCTAAGAATCTTTCTAGAAATTCCTTTATTTCTCTTATTCGAATTTTCTGAAGCAACCTCTTCATCAGTATGTTCTCCTTTTCTTACCATCCATCTTTTCTCACTACATTTAGGGCATTGCTCAAAGATCTGCATATTCCTTTCTATATAAAATACAATTATTAACACATGCATCTATCTTCACATAATCTAAACCCAAACCTTTAATTATCTTTTGAACTTCATAGATAGAATTCGGGAGCATATTTCCTTTGGGTAAAATATCACTCAATAATTTCAATAAAGAGTCAAATGAGGTATTACTCCAACCATGTAGACACTTTATTTGAAAAAGACGCATTAAAAACTAGAGTTTGGAGAACTTTTCACAATCAGGATATAACTTTTGCTCTGCATCTTTTAATAACCTATAGAAAATTTTAGCTTCTGTATTAGGCTCTTCACAGCTAGACTCACTGTCCTTATCAAACTCATGACTATGAGTGGAAATACCACGATACAAGTCATGCAACATTTCAAAAGTGGAAGCATCATCATTTCCTATATCTGAATCTGTACCAATATTTGTTCCATCATCTGAAGATGAATCTAACTCACCATGATAAATCCACCTATCATATGCTGAATCTATTCCCCGTCTAAGTAAATCCGTCTTTACTTCTTCTCGCGTTTTCAAAGAACATTGTTACACTTAATACACGGACATTGGATTCTTACACCAACATTAGGATTAGAAAATGCGAAGTTTAAAAATTGTTCTACACCATTCAAGTATTGAGGTAACGCCCTATTCTTAATGAATATCCAGCTCTTATCCATCATGTACTTATCTACAATAAAATATAAAAGTAAAACTATATGATTGTCTTTCTCTCTATTTTTTATTATCTGTTGTATCGGGAAAAAATAGATTAGAGAATTACTAAGAAACATAAGGCTTTGAGTTGAACTAAAAAGCCAAATAATTAGAACAGATAAGCTATGGATATTAGTGGACAAAATTAGGTAAACAAAAGTTCCACTTTGAGCTATGTATATTAGGCAAACAAAATTTTTATTTTGTGACTCTTGTTTATTGTGGGAATCACAGAAGTATTAATGTCTAGACAGAGTATGTGCCCTTTTTAAAAAATCGCATAGGAGCACCAACGTGATTCAATTCAGCTATGGTTGGACAATTTCTCTTTCACACTTTCTCATGAATTAACAGAGTGCAAGGGAATGAAATACTTATTTTCTAAGAATTTTCTTTTCTCAAAAAATAAAATAATATAAATACTTAGTAAAACAATGTTTTTTTCCAAAGTTGAAACCATCTACAATTGCAAATCACTCATACTACAACCAGTGTAACTAGAAATACTCCACGCTTTTGATGAGTAGTCCAAAATTTACTTTACGTCGGTTTCAATAATAGCAATACACATCAACAACAACAAACCCAGTGTATTCCCACAAGTGGGGTCTGGGGAGGGTAGTGTGTACGCAGACCTTACCCCTACCTTCAATAGGTAGAGAGGTTGTTTCTGATAGACCCTCGACTAAGGATATAATGAGAAATAATATACTAAATATTCTAAAGTCCAAATAAAGAAATCTACAATTTTTATTAAAACTTCACAAGATGTTAGTACTAAATGAAGGACACTTTAAATGGATACATATATAATGGCTTCAATATTCCACCTGACTGTTTAGATGAAATTTTGAATTAACTTTCAGAGTATTTTGGGTAGAAAAGAAAGGATAGAACCATTCATGGAACACATATCTCTATTGAAGATTAGTAACCACTTGCCAAATTATTGAACGATTGTGATATCCAGCAACCATGACATAATCAGCATAGATGAATAGCAATAAACATGAATAAACTATTCAAGAACAAAAAATTAGACAGGGGACATAAAGAAAACTTATGAACCAGACCAACACCAGAAATAACATCAAGTAATTGATAAACTTCTCACAAAATAAGTATTAAAACTTGAAGTGTAAAACTATTGACCTTCAATATAATCTATTAACTTCGAGAAAATATTGTTTCATATTCATATGAAAGGCAACAGAAAATATCCATAATTCGTATGAAAGGCAACAGAAAAGATCCATAATGCTACACGTAACAACAAAAAAGATACATTCATATAAAGAACAAGAAATTGGACAACACTAAAAGAAAAACTTTATGCAAAGTTTCTTTCTGAAAACAGTATTTTCATTATCCGGTGAACCAGCAATCGGTAAAGCAATTTGAATAGGGTTCTTACCGGTTCTTTCCCGATCAGCAGTAATACGACGCAGCAAGGAGGATGAAGAAGAGAAGGAGCTCGTTCAAGAATAGCAGATAAGAAAAACCCTAGGCAGATTGGTTACTAGAGAGTGCGCTAAAATTTCGAGAAAAGTTATTAAAAAGGAAAAAGTTTGCCGCGTTTAATTTTGGCGGAAAACTGGAAAGTTTTAGGCCACAACCCAAAACCCACGAACCTTCTTGGTAAAATATTATGTATTGCCAACAAAAAGATTTTGTTGTTGCAAATTCTGTTTAATTTTAAGTTTATTATCTTAAATGTTCTATTTTTTGCAACAACTAAAATCAGTTGTTGCCATTTATTAAATTCAGCAACAATACCATAATTGTTGCTAGAATATTTTTAAAATTTAAATTTTATTATCTGAACCATAGAATATGGCAACAGAATTAATACGGTTGCCAACACTAAAAATTTGTTGCCAAAAAGTTTATCTATAGCAACAAATTTGTGGAATTGTTGCCATTTATCCATTTTCGCCAACAATATTTCAGTTGTTGCTAAAACATTGTTGCAAATTCTATACTTTCTTGTAGTGAAAATAAGAGAGATTACTTACTCATGGTCGAGCAAACGGTCTGAAACAGGCAAAGAAATCGAAGGTGCAAATCAGACCACCTAGGTCCCTTGAGATCTTCTCAAGGATCTAAGAAACTGATGAACCGTAGCAAGTTGGAGGCCAGTATAGGCCTGAGACGATAAAGAAACATCATAGAACGGAGGGCTAAACCGGTGACGGCGCCTGGATTAGGGTTCAGATAGAGAGCATCTGAGAGAGAGGGGAAGGGGTGACGGCGGGGTATGGTGGAAATGAATTAGGTTAGGAGGGGGGTCATTAGGTTAATTATGGTAAGAACAAATACGGGCCGTTGATCTCAGAGATCAACGGCTAGGATTTTGGGAGGCCTGGGTCGGATTTTAGATTAATTGGGGTTGGGTTTGACCGATTTGGGCTTGGTCTTAGTGGGTTAGGGGTTGAAATTGGGTTGTTCAATTAGGCTAAATCCGAAATAAGGGGGCTATTTGTTAAATACCCAGGTATTTGAATAAAAATTATTTTATAAAATAATTAACAATGAGAAAAAATAATTTTCATGCACGGAGATGCTTTAACATAATTATTCAATATTTTAAAAATATAACGGGCTAATTTCTGGTAAAATAACGCAGTGATGTATGCATGGGCTATAATTGCAAAATTATTGCAATTGTAACCAAAAGATGTAAATCTGGCCATTTGTGAGATAATTGGAACTTAATAGGACCATAATGGTAATATTAAATCAAGAGATGTTTTAAAATCATCTATAATGCACTTTTGTAATTATTTATATGAATAAATATTGAGATAAATTAATTTAAAAAATGTAAAAATTATGGAAAAATACCAACTGATGCTAATGCATAGTTTTAAAGGTATATATGCATTTCAAAAATATTATAGGGAAAAATTGGGTATCAACATCTGTAATTATGGAATGAACTGCTAATTGACTTTACAACTTGTACACCGTTACTAACTAACTGATTCTTAACTAACTTTCTAACAACTTGTAACGACTCTAACTAACTCTGAGCTGACGTGGCTTGCCTCTAACTAACTTTGAACTGTCGTGGCTTTGCTCATTTGAATTCATGTATTAGAGTTATATATATCGCTGGGTCTATATTTGCTCAACTTTTAAAAATAAAACAAAAATTAAACACCAGTTCTTGAAAAGGACAGCTAGATGAAATTTTTCATTGAAACAAACTTTGCACAAGTACTTGAATCCAAAATTCCAGTGCACGAACACAATTTTTCAACAAATATAACTTTCTTTTTTCATTGTAGCAATTGTTGGTGGTGTATGCCTGTAAAAAGGCAACGAAAACTAAGTACACATATAATTAACATTCAAAAACGAAATACAATCCATTAAGTATAAGTAATTGACTAACGGCTACTAATTAATCAATCATGAGATGACCTTTTGATTCATCTATGAGAATTCAGCGATTTGCATGGTAAAGGTTTTTTTCATCAAAAGGAGAAGTCTCTTATTCATGATACATTACATTAATTAGCAAAGCAAAAGAGCCACAGAGTTTCACGTACAAGCCATGTGGTGAATTATTCATCCAAGAAAACCTCATGTAAACTAGCTAGAAGGTGACTACATCTATTTTTATTTATTCTAGTAAAACAAGAAGGAACTACATCTAGGTTGTATACCAAATTTAAAAGTACAATAACTATGTGATGACATGACAAACTTATTAAATAACAAGAAATTTCGCTTAAAGCATGAGAATAAGCGTATTGCAATTGTCAATTTTTTTGACATATTTCGTGAGTTCCTACGATTGTTTTTCCCTTTAGAACTTCGAAATCTACGTTGTCCTCATTAGTCTCTTAAGTGATACGTCCCTAATGTTGGCACAAGGAGTTTGAACTATAAATTTCTCATAAATCTATTCAAACAACCAAGTATAATTCCATAATTTAGAGTGCTTTTTTGTTAACCTCAAAACATAATACTATGATATTTAAGTACAATGTTAGTGTCGTATTTCTTGTTTTGCTCTCAATTTGGGTTAGGACTGAAGGTCGTAGTATTTCTCAATTCTTGACCGAAGAATCAGAAGGAACAAAATGGGCTGTCCTAGTTGCTGGCTCCAATGGCTGGGAAAATTATAGGCATCAGGTTGTTATTCCAACCATTTTTCTTTTACATTGTCTTTTTTATTTATTTATATATATTTGTATTTATAATAGAATCTCAGCAATTTCTTTTACTAATTATATTTTTATATAGTTATTACTGTACTTAGTTAAAAATATACCTCATGTTCTCAAACCTAGACGAGGAATACTTCAAGTTAGATATACTATTCTTATTCACTATTCTTCAACATTTTTCAAAGTGAAAATTCATTTCAAACACAATTTCATCGTTAATATACTCTTTGACTTAGACCAAATATTTTCAAACCCTACTTAATAATTTCAAATAAACCATATTCCTGCTCTTTGGAAAATCTCAACGGAGATCTTCATAATGCAACTTATAACGTTAAAAGATCAAACGTCCTAGAAAAAAGGCCTAAAGAATTTCTCCCAAAACAAAATCATAATTACGTAGATCAAAAGAAAGAGAAAAAACAAAAAATTTTAGTCATTGGTGGCACAGAGTGTTAGGACCAAAAAATTAGGTGTCATGCGGAAGCTAGCAAAGCAAACACTGAACAACGATAAACCAGACAACAAAAGAGAAATATACCAAAAGAGATACAAACATTTAACGTGGTTCGGTCAATTTGACCTACATCCACGGGCGGAGATGAGCAATCCACTATATAAAAAAGAGTATAAAATATCGAGAGAATAACCTCACGAAGAGGCAAACACAAGACACACTAACACTTGTCCCGTAGAGTTCTCCCCCTAAACCAGACTCTCAAAGCCCATATGGCTACATTGTGGATGCTACTGAATGAGAAGGAATTTCCAACAAGAAACAGGACTAGCCAAATATAGAAGAATTATATTTTCCTTCTAGGAAAAGAAAAAACCCAATTATGATAAATATATTGTTCTTTCCTTCAAGAGATAGAAAAACCAATTATGATAAGAAAATCTGTACAAACACCTAACACAGAGAAGAACAATCTCTGCTGTGCTACTTTTGCCGGAGATAGTTGAATGGTATATATTTCTTATTTGTTTGGTCATTGAATGATTTCAGGCAGATGTATGTCACGCTTACCAACTACTGAAGGACGGAGGTCTCAAAGATGAAAACATCATCGTATTCATGTACGATGACATTGCTAACAATACTATGAATCCCAGACCTGGAGTCATCATCAATAATCCACATGGACATAATGTTTACAAAGGTGTTCCTAAGGTTTGTTTTTGTTCTTTACTGGTTCAATTCCATGAAAATTTTCAAGACTTAGAGTTTTTGCTTAATTATGAGTTGTTATTATTTTATTTTCTTGAGGCAGGATTACGTAGGAAAAGATGTTAATGCTCACAATTTTTACAATGTTATTCTTGCGAACAAAAGTGGTATCACTGGGGGCAGTGGGAAAGTAGTGAACAGTGGTCCAAATGACCATATCTTCATCTATTATGCTGATCATGGCGGTCCTGGGATAGTTTGTAAGTAGCCTCTATCTCCTCGTGTTATTATTCTCTGTATTTTGTATAACTATTTGATTCTAGTATATATTGGATTATTAGTCACTACACTTGAATGTGGATAATCAGTTTTGTTAGGAACTTCTCGCCTAATGCCATGGTTAGGCAATAGGAAAATGAAGCTAATATTGACTACAAAATTTGGCGATTCTCTCCTGGCTTTTATCATACTTTGGAATTGATCATGATCAGGATATGTGTATTTATTTCATGCTTTTACTGTTATCAGCAATGCCAAGTGGAGAAGATGTTTACGCTAATGATCTGATTAATGTGTTGAAAAAGAAGCATGCTTCGGGGACATTTGACAGATTGGTAAGTGGTAATTACTTGCTTGTTTAAATCTTTAAAGGATTTCGATCGATAAGTGAATTTTAAAGTCTGAATTTTATGTTAGATGATGTTATATTTTTCCATCTTCAGGTATTTTACCTAGAAGCTTGTGAGTCTGGTAGCATGTTTGATGGTCTTCTTCCCGAAGGTCTCGACATCTATGTCACGACTGCATCAAGACCCGATGAGAACAGTTGGGCAACGTATTGCGGTACCTATGATGCCTGCATGGTTGAGTGTCCCCCTCCTGAGTTTAACGGTGTGTGCTTGGGAGACTTGTACAGTGTTGCTTGGATGGAAGACAGGTATGAGCAAATTTTGTTGTCTCTTCTCTGGTAATCAAAGAGCGAAAAACGAGTTGATGCATTTTATTGTTTTTGGACTTCTTCCCCATATATAGGCGGATACATTTTACTTCGTTGAAAACCTAAAAGCAATAAATTAAGAAAGCTGGAGTGTGTCATGAGCTCACGTATTTTCTTCATTATCTTGGATGATTTTTATGCTTGGAAGGCGACATTTTAAGTCGCTTCATTGTTATCTAAAGAGTAGTACTTGTTACTGTTTGTACTTGTGAACAGTGATGTGCAGGATCGAACATCTGACAGTGTGGCGGGACAGTATGACCGTGTAAGAGCTTGTACTAGTATTTTAAACATATCGTGCATATTCTTTACCTAATTGTTCAAAAAATAGAAGATCAATTGTTAATGCGTCAAATCCTACATACTACTTCAAATGCTTACCATCAGGGGCGGATCCAGTATGTTAGATACGGATTTCCGTGAACCTACTAACTTTTGTCTAGATCCGGTATTTGTATTAAAAAAATCATTAAATATATAAGAATATTTAGCTTGGAATCCAGTTTGTTAATCCAGTTATTATTGTATATTAACTTAAGATTTGTGTAGGAACCCATAAACTTAAAATTCTGGATCCGGCTCTGCTTACCAAGTTCTGAATGAAAGATTTATAATTTCATTGTGGACATGTTCAGGTTGCAAACAGAACTGCAGCCAACTTAACACATGGTTTCTATGGCTCCCATGTCATGGAATATGGTGATATAGTAGTGAGCTTTGATTCTCTTGCTGCGTATATGGGTGTTACTAATTATTCCACAAATCACAGTCATGCCTATGTGAATGACAATGCCATGTCATTCTCGACATCATCAAAGCATGTGGATCAACGCAATGCTGAGCTTTTCTATTTGTTCACCAAAGTATGTTTCTACAGCCTCTTTTTGTAGCACAATTGATAATGCGGAATTATTCTTCCCACACCACAGGACTTCTATTCGTTTTTTTTTCCTGAATATTTGCAGCACCAAAATGCTCCTGAAGGATCTGTAGAGAAAGTCGAAGCTCAAGCGACACTTAAAGAAGCTTTATCAAAGAGAAGTCAAGTGGACAACAATGTAAAAAATCTTGGGGAGCTTTTGTTTGGAGCTGGAAAAGGTAATGACGTGCTACAGAGTGTTCGACCTGCTGGACAACCACTTGTTGACAATTGGGATTGCCTTAAATCCTATGTAAGTAATCAGCCTAATTATAAAAAGTTTGTGTGACGTACTTTACTTGAATTTCTCTGTTAGTTTGTTTGTTGAGAATGTGACTATTAGTCTTTTCTCATGTATAGGTCAAGACATTTGAGGAACATTGTGGGAAATTAACATCGTACGGAAAGAAACACATACGTGGTATCGCCAACATCTGCAATGCTGGAATTGAGAGTGACCAAATGGGTGCTGCAACTGCACAAGCATGTCCTAATTAGTAGAGGATTACATTTGACAAAGGGATTAGTGTATGTTTAGCCACTTTGTGTCATGGCAATAAAATTTCACCTTTAGTAGATAGCAAGAGTGAAAATAACTCTTGGGTGGAACATCTTGTCCATTCTCCATGTACTAAGTCAAACTGAACCTTTTTAGAATTCTTATAAGTAATTCTAGTCCATTCTAGTCCTTATCCGAACGATCTTAAATTAAAATCATGAAAGAAGAAATAAGTCCAAACACTCAGAATTTTGGAATATTGTCATATAGAAAATATGAATTTTTTGCCTTTTTCACATTTGATAAAAGCCATGTAATTATCACGAGAAAGAGAGACAGTTGGAAAACATAAGCCAGAATTAATAATCGGAATATTTTACAATTTTATTAAGGCTATGGGTGGAGTGATCGATCCATGAGATTCTAAATCATTTTGGAAGCCCTTATGCAACCAATGAGGGACAAGTGTATTACCTAACCATAGATAATGTTCCCTTATGTATAGAGTTTTTCTCTCTCTCTTTTACTATACCAGCCAAAGGGAAAAAAAATGTGATTTGGAATGTGCGAGTATTTTGACAATTGGTTTTGCCTTAAATTCTATGAAAGTAGTCAGCCTAATTATAAAAATTCATGGTCTTAAGTAGAATTTGTCTGTTTGATTGTTTGCTGAGAATGTGACTAGTCTTTTCTCATGTATAGGTCAAGACATTAGAGGAACATTGTGGAAAATTAACATCATATGGAAAGAAATCGCCAACATCTGCAATGCTGGAATTGAGAGTGAGGAAATGGTTGCCGCAACTGCACAAGCCTGTTCAAGTTTGTAATGGGTTGTCTTGGCAAAGAGATTAATGTATGTTTAGCCAGTTTATGTCATGGCTACAAAATTTCACCTTTAGTAGATAGCAACAGTGAAAATAAAGATGCCGAATGGAACATCTTGTCCATTCTCCGTGTGCTAAGTCAATTGAACTTTTTAAGAGTTCTTATAAGTAATTCTAGTCCTTATCTGTGTGAACACCTAATTTTTACACTATTTTAACACCTCCTAAAGTTATTACTATTTTGTTATTTTAATTATTTTTCTCAAATTTTGTGTCTTTAATTGCATATTTTCTATCATGAAAATACCAAAAAATAATAGTTCTTCCTTCATTTGTGCATTTTAGGAATCGACTAACTTTCAATTGGTGAATCAATCTAGTTAATTGATCATTTGAATAAGTTATTTAATTAATTTATTTATTTGTGTAAATTTAGTTTAATAAGTAGGATTAAGGAAGAAATTTGGCCAAATTTGAAAGAAAAAGTGGCCAAGAGTGCAAGATAAGGGGCTGCGATTGAAAGGGTCCGAAACTACGTAGTTTTGCCTCAAAACTACGTCGTTTCATTAAGTGAATCAAGATTAAATCTCATCCATTCATCTCTCCCTCATCCAATATCCACAATCAATCTCCCAACTAGGTATTTAAGACTTAGAAATGCTGAAATTTTGCCCCATTTCCCCCGTATCTCTTTCTTCTTCCTCTCTCTTCTCATTCTCTCCCATTCTTACACCCGCCGCCAGCCGCCCATCTCCGTCGGCCGGAAATCGCCGCCGCTGGCGGAGCACCCCCAAACAACCCCAAAATCTCACCATCTCTTCTTCTCACTCCCCTCATTCTAAATCCATGACCCAAATTCCCTAAATCTCCACCAAAAATTGACAAACCTAAACCCTAGTTGCGCCGCCGCCTTTGCCCCGCCGCGCGCCGCACCCGCCCATCGCCCAAACCACCCCAAAATTTCACCCTTTGTTCCTCTCAACCTCCTCTTTCCATATCTTCAAACAAAATCCTTCAAAACCCCCTCAAAATCCACGAAATTTAGATCTAAGAAACCCTAGCCACCACCTTTTTGCCCGAATTTGTGAAGTTCCGACCACCACCACCCTACAATACTTACATCAACGGAAAGAGCTCCTCAAGACCTATTTATAGATAGCAATCTCAAGATAAAACTCCGACCACTAATTTTCCGGCCACCGGGCAGCCACTTTTTGGCATCTCCGACGTCTCCTCGTGGCTCGAACAGCTTCAACCACGCTCCTTAGGTATTTCGTCATCTCTTTATTTAATTTTTGACTTTTTTTTTAGTTGTAATACGTTAGTTCCAGATTTTAATTTTAGTTTCTGATTTTTTTTTGGTTGTTTCTTGTTAATTAGAGTTTCAAGTTAGGTTTATTTAATTAGTTATCTCTATTTAGTTTAGTTGTTTGTTAGATTATTATGATTATACGGGATCTTTAGTGTATTAGTTAAATCGTTTACTCAGTTAATCGATTGTTAGTTGTGTGAGTTTATTTTAGTTTAAATTAATAAAGTAGTATTGATGTTGATAAAATCTGAAGTTTTTACGGGTTTGATCATGACTTAGGGTACTAGTAGCTTACTTTTGACTAGTAGGGTGGCTGAAATGATATTTTTTCTCCTTGCTTCTGCTATAGCAAATTTTCAGGCTGTCCTTTCACCTTTTGGACAGCCTTTGAACAGTTTTTATCACAAAAAGTCAGTCCTTTTGGACAGATTTTTGGTGAACCAAAACCTGCCCAAAAAGTGGCTTTCTTTACCTACTTAAGGGCTGCCTTTCCTCATTTTTAAAGGGGACTCTAACACACATCTGCTAGAAATTTTTACACACTACAAAACACAATTTTAGGAGTAAAAATTAGCAGCTGAACTTAAAGAAAGTAAGCTGAAATTGTGATCTTTATGAGTGCTTCTTAAAGTGAAAACTCTTTCAAAAGGAGTAAGTCTTTTAGAGTTGATTCTGGGCTTCTTCTCTAAGTTTTTTGGGGCTGTTTGGATACGAATCTGCTTCTGTTATTGCTCGTTTTCATTGCTGCTTTTAAACTATTTTGTTGCTGTTTCTGCTCATCTCACTGCTGTATTTTTATTCTGCGAACCAGGTAATTCCTACATCTTTGTATTGCAGATTTTTGATAGTAATAACAAGATCTGAACTTGTCCGGATGGCCGAAGCATGTTGTACCTGATCTTTGCTTAAGAATAAATGTTGTACCTATGTATAAAAACATGTAAATATGTAGTAGTTATTGCTTTTAGAAGATAACTCTCTACTTGTTGTTATCTAGTTGTTGAAAGTCAATTTCTCACCTTGCTGTACCTAAAAGTACTTAATCTACTTTAGGTGAGCATGTTGTAGATGTGAATCTAATTTCCTTAGTTTATAAAAATATCCTTGTTGAATTTTGCTCGAATCTTTATTTCGTTTATTAGCGTTATAATTCAGTGAGCTTTTATCATATTTCGGTTACATCAGTTATAAAACATTTTCTGATAACATCACAACGATATAAATAAAACGAGTCATTTAAATAAAAGCGGAAGTCTTAAAAACATAGATAGCTGAAAACCAAATGCGGAAGTTTAACATTTCTCTACCCAAGATTGGTGTCACTATCTCACGAACTACTAAAGAAGTGCTAAAAACAAGTACAGAATAGA